CACACGCGTGCTCACTGCACACGCCTGCGCCAGGTCCCCACACGCGTGCTCACTGCACACGCCTGCACCAGGTCCCCACACGCATGCTCACTGCACACACCTGCATCCAGGCCCCCACACACGTGCTCACTGCACACGCCTGCGTCCACACCCCTGCAGCTCTGTGCTGGGTCTGTAGCAGGGCGACTTCAGGGGAGACTGTCACAGAAGCTGAAGCCCTTTGGCTGGGACCTTCCCGAGAAGTCTCGCGGCTGCAGGACCAGCTCCCACAGCCAGGCTGGTTCTGCCCAGGCCTGCAGCCCGGTGCCCAGCCAGGCCGCTCAGTGGCCTGCAGCCTCTCCTCGGAGGCCCCTCTGGCTGGCCCTCTCCCGACCAGCTCGCCGTGGGCAGATTTAAGTCATGTGAAAACTCCTCAGGGAAAGCTCCTTTCCTGCACACCCACCTCGACCGAACTTGTCCTCATTGTCCTGTTGCAGGGACGTAAGCAAACACGGGCCGGGAGCCCTCCTCCGACAACACACTGCAGTGGACGGGAACCCGTTTAAAAATCAAACACAAACAGCAGCACCAGTGAAACCTAACTCGCGGCATTCGCTGTAAGGGCAGGTGGTTTGCGCAGACGCGCTCCGGTGGGTCCCCTGAGGTCACCTGCCGCTCGCTCCGGGCGCCACGCCCTGCCTGGGTGGGGGATGGGAGGCGGAGGGAGGCGTGGGGCATGAGGCGGTGACTGTGCCCTGTGAGTGGGGGCAGACGGCACATTCCACCCAGGACCGCCCCGCGAGGCACCGGGGAGTCCGTGTGTCCCCGGCAGTGTGTCCCCTGTGGACAGCCTCCTCCTGCCGCGGGGTCGCGCTGACTTCAAGAGAGTGGCCCGGTCACCGCGGAGACGGGTGTGGCCAGCCTGGTGCCCAGCAGCGGGGACAGCTTAACTTTTTTTAGGAAAAAAAAGACTTGGGCCTGGGCCAGTGTGGTTCAGCGGTTAGCACATTGGCCCACACATCAAAGGGTTGCGGGTTCGACTCCCACTCAAGGGCACGTACCTGGGTGGCAGGTTTGATTCCCGGCCCCGGTCAGGGCGCGTGTGGGAGGCAGCCAACCGATGTGACGCCACATCTGTGTCTCTCTCTCTCTTTCTCTCCCCCTTCCTCCTGCCTTTCCACAAACATCGATGGAAAAAATGTCCCCAGTGAGGATGAACCAAAAACAAACAAAGGAAGGACTTTGAAGTGACCACGGGCCTTCTGCGGCCCTTGTCATCCTCATGAAACAAACCAGCCAGGGCAGAGGCCCGGCCTCTCCTTCCGTCTCAGAAGGTGGCTGTCCCCAGGCGGGCCCCAGGGGTGGCCAGGCCACGTCCCTGCTGGGACCCTCCCACAGTCCCCGTGGCTGGGCTGTGGCCCTGGGCCCCGCCGAGGGGCTGCCCTGACTTAGCCAGCTGAGCCCTGCCACGCCCGTGTCGCCCGTGGCTGCCACGCTCTGTCCTGAGCCCCACTTCCCAGCGTGTTGTCAGGTTGGCCTCTGCGGGTTGACCAGGACCCACCTGAGCCACTGTGTGTCCAGGACCCGCGGCCCCGTGGAGCCCACGGCCTCTCAGCCCATCCTGGCGCCAGACACAGGCAGCCGGCCCTGCTCCAGGCTCAGGACCACAGGACCCAGCTGGGCCCGGCCTGCCATGGCCTCTGCCTCCCTCCCTGCTCCCTCCACCCTCGCTCCGGCCCCTGAGGCATGTGCTCTGTCCTCATGGTGCCCGTGTCCTCGCCTCTGGGAAGCAGCACAGCTTCATTCTGGGGACGGGAAGGCCCAGGCACGAGCCCTGTGCCCAGAGCACCGCAGGTCCTCACAGAGGGAGACGCAGCCCCCGAAAGGAGCAGGTCACTCTGGCCAGATCCCAGCCTCCGCTAGCGAGAGGGGTGAAGTCCGCACGCCAGTTCCTGTGCGTGGGCACCATGATTGTGTGCGCGTACGTGGACGTGTGGGTGTGTAGACGTGTGTGCATGCATGGACATGTGTGGGTGTGTGTGCATGCGTGGATGTGCATGGATATGAGTGTGTCAATGTGTGTGCGTGTGTGGACATGTGTGGGTGTGTGGACGTGTGTGCATGCATGGATGTGTGTGTGGGTATGTGTGCATGCATGGATGTGCATGGATGATGTATGTGTGTTGACATGCATGCATGTGAGAATATGTGGACGTGTGTGGGGGTGTCGGTGTGCTGCATGTGCGTGGTGGGGCTCGGGGGGAAGGGAGTGACACACCCCAGGGCCAGGGGCTGCACTGGCCCCTCAGAGGCCCAGGCTGGACCAACCTGCTCCCCACTGGCCTGGGGACAGGCGCCAGGGACATAAACGATGCCAAGCTCCTGACCCGCCATGGGAGCCCCCCGGGTTGCGATGTGTGAACAGGCTGTGTCCACAGTCCCCAGCCATCAGCCACCATCACTCAGGCCCCTCAGCACGGCCAGCCCTGAGGGGACACTCTCTCCAGGCCAAGAGCTGCCACGAAGCCTGGGCCAGCGGCGCTGAGGTGGTGACGTGTGGGATGAAAGGCCCTTTGTCCCCGGGACGTGGGCGCCCGGTGCTGCGTCTACAGCAGGAAGTGGCCCGGGCTGGGCCAGCCGAGCCCTGGCAGACAAAAGGCAGTGTGTGCTGAGCGCCAGCCTGCAGTGCCCTCTGCTGTCACCGGCACACCCAGCCCCGCGCCCCGTGGGGACAGTGGCCAGTGAGGCTGGGTGTCTGCTCATCTCTCTGCAGACGCGTCCACCTGTCTGCTGCGTGGCGGGTCGCCCGCCAGTGGCCACGCGTGGACGGCTGTGTGTGCGTGAGTGCACGTGCTGTGTGTATGTTGCACACGTGAGCTGTTCCACGTGGCTTGTGTGAACCACATAGCCAGGCGCTGTGGCTGATGCAGGGCCAGGACTGGGCCCCTCCCATCCTCAGGTCGTTGGGACCCTGTCCCCTCCCCGCTGCCCTCCCCCCCACCTCCCACATTGTCACTCATGCTTGTCCGGCTACCACCCTGTGACAGCAGCACCCTGTGTCCCTCCCCTCACACCTCCCGGGTGCCGGCTAGTGATCCCAGAGGCCTGCGGGCAGCCCGGAGGTCCTCTGTCCCGTGCACGCATGCGGTGACGAGCCGACCTGGGGGGACCCATCCTGCTGGGGCATCTCCCTCGCTGCCCTCTCAGGAGAGCGAGGAGCATTTCCGGGTCCTGGGGGCTCCCTGGCCGGCTTGGCCCTTTTGTGCCAGAGGGTCAGAGGGTCTCGGCCGGGTGCTGGGCTTAAACCACAAACGGTTCCTGTCTCGGGCCTGGGGCTGGAGCTGTGAGGTCAGCGCCGGCCCACTCGGTGTCTGGGCGGAGCTCTGCTCAGGGACCGCAGAGGCCATGACCTGTGCGTCCCGCAGGGCCGGGCGGGGCAGGCAGGGGACACAGGACACCAGTCCTGTTGGATCAGAACCTACCCGTATGACCTCATTTACCCCGAATCACTTTCTGAGAGGTTCCGTCCTCAAGCGTGTGACTCGGGGGGACACTGTGCTGTCCGTCTCAAGGCCCAGGAAGGTGTTGGCTCTGGCCGATCAGCCGTGGACTGCCTACCCCCTGGCTGAGGGTGGGGAGGTGGGTGGGGTGGGTCGGGGTGCCTGGCCCGCAGGACCCTGTGCCATGTACCTCCTTCAGGCGCCCTGCTGGCTTCCCAGAACCGGCAGAGGCTGGTCCCCCGAATGGCTGTCCTCTGCTAAGTGTCCCTGAGTGGGCCCAGGCCCAGCCCCGCCCCGGGTGCCCCGGGTGCCAGGGGTCTGTCGCCTCTCCCCGCCTCCTGGCAGGGACGCCCAGCGGGGCCTGCTGGCTCAGTGGGTGTGGGGCAGGTGCTTGAGACAGGTGTGTGCTGTCCCCACCTGGACCCCAGGTCTGTGGCTCCTCTGTCCGTCCGGTTCTCGGTTTCCTGTGTTCCCGGCCCGTGGGCTCAGCGTTGGGGACACGCTGCGTGTGTCTCTGTGTGTGCTGGGAGCTCCACTTTGGACCGAAACGCTGCCTGGCTGGTGGCGGGCGTCGGTCTGAGCGCCGATTCCACCCGGAGGTCCTCGTTCCCACAGACCTGGTTTCAGGAAGGTGCCGCCGGCGATCGGGTGCATGCCGAGGCCTCGCTGTCCCAGCCCAGAGCAGCGGGTCCCTGTGTCCCTTCACTGACTGCGCCAGGGAGACCCCCCTCACTGCCCAGGGGCACTCGCTTCTGGAGTTTTCCTTCCGAGTCTCCAGGCCGCCCTGCCCACAGCCCTGGGGACGGGGGTCCGGGAGGGGGAGGCGCTCTCTCTGCCTGGAGGAAGCTGGTCGGCGCTCACTGTGCCCACAGGCTCTGCGGCCACCCAGGTCCGCAGCCTCCTCCCCCCGTGATGACCAGGACCAGGTCCCGTGGCTTTGGGTCCTGGTGTCACCGGTACTTGAACGGCCTTGAGGGCCAGCCGGTGAGGCCCGGGGAGGGGCTGTGGTCACTCTGAGGTCCTGTGGCCTCACTCCCTCCCAGCGCTGACCCCAGGCCCCTGGACCCCGCCTTGTGGACAGACCGTCCTTGCTGCCTCCGGACTGTCCTGAGCAGGAGCACCCTTCCCGGCCCAGGTGGACTCCAGGCCGAGGACAGGAGTGCGTCGTCCCCCGGGAAGGGCCATGCCCTCGGCGACTTCCTACCGAGTGGCCAACGGCGGAGGCAGCCGTGGACAGCGAGTGTGAACCTGGTGAGGGGGGAGCAGCGGCCTGGCCAGGCCCCCGAGTGTCACGAGGCGCTTGCTGCCCGTCTGCTCCGCCCCTGAGGTCCGGCGCCCAGACCCGCTCTGGGAGGCAGGTGCCCGGCGCCCTCCGTGTCCGGGCCCAGGGCAGGTGCCCGGCGCCCTCCGTGTCCGGGCCCAGGGCAGGTGCCCGGCGCCCTCCGTGTCCGGGCCCAGGGCAGGTGTCCGGCGCCCTCCGTGTCCGGGCCACGGGAGTGACAGCTCTCTTCTCTCCCACAGCGCGGATCATCGAAACAAAGCAATGGTGTGACATGCGTCCGTGTCTGCAGGGGGAAGGCTGTGACCTGCTGATCAACCGGTCCGGCTGGACGTGCACGCAGCCCGGCGGGCGCATAAAGACCACCACGGTACGTAGTAGCCCCTGGCCTTCCTGGGGGGCCCGGGGAGGGGCCTCAGGCCGTACACCATGCCCATGCAGCCCCCAGGGGACGTGGCCCTCATGCCGCCACGATGGGACAGCAGGAAGCTGGCCACTGGCTTCTTTACGGGGAGAGGCCACCAGCCCCCTCACCCCCCCAAACCGCCACCCCTCCCCCTGGAACCAGATCAGCCCGTCCCCAGCTGTCTTTGACCACTGGACGGTCACTGCGTGGGGCGGGGCCGAGCGGCTGGATGGAACTGTTCCCCAAGCTTGTCAGCCCGGAAGTCCAACGTGGGCCCACACAGCGATGGAGTTGTCTTGTTTCTGGGGGATGTTAGAGCCCCCCACCCCCCAGGAGAGGGGCTTCGGGGATCCCCCGGGGAGAAGGGGCCCTTAAGAGAGAAGACCGGGGGGGGGTTCCTCCAGGCGCTGCCTCCCGCCCCCCTCTGCAAGGTGGCCCGTAGGACAGAAGAGGCCCCAAAGGGTTATGGGGTCCTGGCGGTGATTCCTGCCGGGGTGCCCTGGGAAGAAGTCGGGTGTCCACCGGGCCAGGGTCGCAGAGACGGGGGCACGTCCACCCACCTCCCGGCTGGCGGCCTCCACGGGCGAACTCGGGGTTGTTTCGGCCTCGCGCCCCAGAGCTCAGCTTGGTGGGGCTGCAGACGAGCCCCCGAGCCCCGGCCTCATCCGCCGGGCGGCCGCGTGCGGTCTGGCTCAGTGCAGGCCTCTGGGGACACACCTGTGCAGAGGCTGTGGGCTGGGACCCGGGGCCGCTGTCCTGGGAGCCCCGCCAGGCCTGGTGGTCGGAGAAGGATGCCGGGGCGGGTCGGAGCCAGGCACCCCCGCCCGGAGAGCCAGCCACCCCCGCCCGGAGCCCGGAGCCTGGCGCCGGCGCCCATGTGAGACCCACCAGCGCGCTCGTCTGTGTGTGTGCAACGCGCGGCCAGGGCTCTGTCGCTGCGCCAGCCAAGTGTGCGGGACCTGCCAGCTCGTCACTGCCACCTGCTCGCTGCTCCGCGGGGCTGGCGGGCTTGTGGGTGCGCCTGCGCCTGGGGTTCCCGTCTGGGTTCTGCCGCCGCCTGCACCGCCCAGACCTCCATCCTCACACCCGTGGGGGCCGTGGGTCAGTGTGGGGAGGCCACTGGGTCCCGGGCAGGGGTCTCTGAGGGAGCCCTGGGGGAGGTGAGGCGTAGAGGGAGACGCTGCAGATGGCCGGCCACCGGCAGGGCCTTGGGGGCCTGGCTGGGATGCTCATGCCGCCCGAGGCTCCAGGGGGCCCCCCGCAGCCCCTGCCCTCGCCTGCCAGTTGGGGCTTCGCCCCGAGCTGTGCCCGGCTCCCTGTGCCACGGAGGTCCTGGGGTTGGCTGTATGCCAAGGGCTGGGGCAGGGGCCCCCAGCACCCACCCCACGCCTTCAGCAGGCCCAGCCCCCCATGGGAACCCCCAGTCCCTAACGGGCTCAGAGAACCTTGCAGAGACTGGTTCAGACACTCACCGGCCGCGGAGCTCAGGGCTGTCCCAGGTCACAGCTGTGAAGGGTGCACCTGGGGGAGGCAGTGACTGCCCACAGCCCCGGGTCAGAGGCCCTGGCGCTGGGCATCCTCTGCTGGGCCTGCCCGGCTCCCTGGCCCCAGCCCTGCGGCCCGCGTGCTTCCAGCTTCGAGGACGCGGTGTCCGACCTGCCCGAGGGGCGCCCGCCACGGTCACAGGTCCGGCAGGTGTACCCGCGGTCCAGGTGCAGGAAGGACACCTGCCACGCCTGGGGCCAGTCGGGGAGAGGTTCTCAGGGTCCCTGAGCCCCCGGGGGGCACGGCCTCCGTTCTGGGTGCAGCGAGCTTGGCTGAGCCGGGCCACCTGCCTCCAAGGAGCTGGGTTGGTGGGCCCGCTGGGCAGCGTGTGGCACGGGGGGTCCAGGTGAGCTCCGTCTCTCCCCAAGAATCTGCACGCGTGTCTGTCAACCCCTGGCCCGTGGTGACCTGTTCTCAAAGCTTTCTTAAGAGGTCAGTTGAGCTCTTGACCCAAACACCGTGCAATTGGAACAGACCACCCACTCTCAGGACTCTCGGGGATGGTCTGTCAGCCCGGCAGGGCTCCTGGTTTTACCGTGAGCGCTCGGCCTCCTGGCCGCTCCCTCCGTGCAAGGGCCACGCTCTCTGTCCAGCTGCCTCCAGCCACGGCCACGCCAGAAGCCACAGCCACCCATCCCCCACCTCGGCACTCTTCTCCACGTGGCCCTGGCCGCTCAATTCTCCGTGGCCCCAGGCTGAGCTGCTGGAGGGCGGACTCTGGGCCTTCGGGGCCCGCTGGCCCGTCCCCCCACCCGGGGCCCCGGGGCTCGTGGTGAACGACGCGTTGATGAACTGAACGGCCCGGACGCGAGCTGGTGCTGCTTCCCCAGACCACTGCCTCTCAGGGAGCAGGAGTCACTTGTCGGGGCCGTGAAGTCCGTTTAGTGGGTCGCTGTCAGCAGTGAGGAGGAGGAAGAAGAAACAGTGAAAACCGGGACCTGTCCTGGGGGACACGGGGATCCCGCGTCCCTGCTGGTCTTCCAGGCTCCGCCACCTCTCTCGTCTCCGCTCTGGGGACCTTGGTCTGCATCGGGCAGGGTGACCCCCAGGGGAACAGTGCAGCTCCTCCCCAAGGTGGAGGGCAGCGTCCCCTCCTGGCCCCGCACACGGGCCCCTGCTCCTGGAGTCGGGCCGCAAGCTGACAGGCCCCTGCTCGGCCGGACTCGGCTCCCGCCGCCACGCCCGCTGAGCCGAGGACAGGAAGCTGGGCCCGATGCGGGGACTCGGGCCACACGGCAGCAGAGCCTCGTCCGGCCGCCTCACCACATCTGTCTGCAGACGCCAACGTTCCGGAACGTTCCAGTCAGAGCTACTCGGCCACCTGTCGACAGGTGTGCGTTCTGCAAGGTGCCCTGAGTGGGGATGAACCGCCAGGGTGAAGCCCGTTTCCAGAGGAGGCGCAAAGCGCTGCGTGTGAATCCTGTGCCCGGGACCCCGGGGTGCGGGCCGGGGGGACCCCAGGGTGTCGGCTGGTTCTGTGCAGGAGCCGGATGCGGGGAGCGTTACCCCAGCGAAAGCACAGAGCGGAGACGCCGAGGGGCACGAGGAAGCAGGGGCCTTGGACCACACGGGCACCCGGACGCCCGAGTCCTGCCCAGCCTCAGCCCCGGCGTCCCGAGTCCAGCGAGGTGGGGCGTGGACGGGCCGTCTTGGGGTCTCCATTAGACACTGGGGGATCACCCAGGCCTGCCTGGTGCTCGGTGGCTTGGCCGGCAGCCTGCCAGTCAGCCCCTCTCCCTTCCCCCACCTGGTCACGGAGCGGTTGCTGGTTGGTCTGGAGGTCAGCAGGCCAGCGACAGCCAGAGGGTCACGGATCCAGGTGCCACTGGAGGTGCCATTGGAGGCCCTACTGTTCATCGATGTGGCCCCACTGAGAGGTCCGTGAGAAAGACGGCCAGGGCCTGTGCACCCCCGCCCCGGCTCCAGGACCCACCACCCAGCCAGGGTCAAGGAGGCCTTCCCTCTGGGCACTGGCCCAGGCCAGCGGGGGGAGGGGCAGCCCACTCACAGCGCTCAGGCTCCCTCGGGCCGTCACTCGCTCCAGGCTCCCGGGCCCACCTCTGCCACAGGAAACCCTGCAGAGCGACAGGGACGTGCAGAGGGGTGAGGGCGCAGACCACGCGCACAGCGAGCAGGCAGGAGATGGCCCTCCAGGCCCAGGGGCGGGAGCAGACGGCCCGAGACAGCAGCAGAGTCTCAGCTGCAGCAGGGCTGGAGGCTCTCTGTGCAGCCCACCACAGACCTCCCCGTGGGGGAGCAGCGTCACGGGGGACAGGACAGAACACCAGGAGGAAAGGAGCCAGGATGCAGAGGTTCATGGGACGCGCAGCCAAGAAGGCCACAGTTGGAGAAGCAGCAGGAAATAGCCACACCCATCCTGGTGGCCACACCCACTGAGCAAAGCTGCTCCCTCCACAAGCTCACCTGGACGGCGTAGCTTATCACACGTTTGAGGAGTGTCTGCACATGCACACATACATATTTGTGAAGTGTATGCACACACACACGTACACATTTGTGGAGTGTATGCACATGCACACATACATATTTGTGAAGTGTATGCACACACACATACGCATTTGTGGAGTGTATGCACACACACGCACATGCACACATATTTGTGAAGTGTATGCACACACGTACACATTTGTGGAGTGTATGCACATGCACACATACATATTTGTGAAGTGTATGCACACACACGTACACATTTGTGGAGTGTATGCACACACACGCACATGCACACATATTTGTGAAGTGTATGCACACACGTACACATTTGTGGAGTGTATGCACATGCACACATACATATTTGTGGAGTGTAGGCACACACGTACACACATTTGTGGAGTGTATGCACATGCACACATGTACACACATTTGTGGAGTGTATGCACACGCACATGCAAACACGTTTGCGGAGTATGCACATGCACACTTGAGTGTGCACACATATGCACACACGTTTGCATGCAGGTCACACGTCTACATCAGTATGTGAGTGTGTGGAGCAGAATTTGTTACAAATCCAGCGGAATGTTTTGGAGATAAAAGGAGGAAACCTCTCAGAAAGCCACGGAGTTGAGTTTTTAAAGGAAGAAGGAAATTGTAAGGGACAAAAGCGATCAGTCGTCCCTGCCACTTCGCGCTCGGACGTCCACGGCTTCACTCTATCGCAGTTTTTCTGAAAAGCGCGAAGTGGCGAGAGACGACCAGGTGAAGAATCCTGCTTCGCGGAAAGGTACTTATCGTGGAGGAGTCTGGAACGGATTGACCGCGGCCAGCGAGGGCCGGCTGCAGATCCACCCAGGACCGGAGGACATGAGAACCAGAGCAGAGGAGGAGGAGGGACTTTCCGAGACGTGTTTCCAGTCACCCCGGGGCTCCGAGGCGTGGGTCTGCGTGTAAGCAGTCACCAC